TGTTATTAAAGTTGAATTATGTTAAAGTTATATCAGAATTATTATTAAAAAATATTAAAATTATCAAAAATTTATTAAAAATTATATTAAAAAAGCTATTAAAAAATTCGTTCCTAATAATTATAACTTATCTTAGTTCGCTTTTTTCTTTACTTAAGAAAGTAATAAAAATAAATATAGAAATCATTCCAATTTACGTTATAGAAACCATTCATAATTACGCAAAATTATAAAAAAGAGTTTTTTTAATAGCGCCGACTATTAGCGTTTTCAGTGTAATTTTGTCTAACTTAAACATCGAAATAAAGTTTTTTCCTCAAATTTTCAGGTCTATGTTTTTATACGATTCTAAATCAGCATAAAATTCTCTATCAAAATCAATCATAAAACTATAGAGGTAGGCAACTGAAACAGTGCCTAAAAATCTATGTATATAATATTGTATATTGTAGTCATCACCGCTTGATAAACTTTGCGAAATTCTAATGTCATTGTAAACAAATCATTGCGAAATTCTAATGTCATTGTAAACGAAATCGTTATTTTATATTAGACAAGTTTCATATGATAGAATTTCTGTACATGCATTTGTTGCAAATCAATTTTTATTGCCTTGTTTTATTGTCTCAATTGGATGATACACGTGGATCATGGGTATACACATATTTTATGTTGTACTGCATTAATACGTTATGAAAAACAATATTGTGCTTTTAGGAATTTATCATAAAGATAATTTTATAAAACGTGCATTATCTTGATTGATTGTTAACAATGTTATATTAAGGTATTATATACTTTACTATAAAACTGCATTGAGCTATTAAAACTTCCAGCAATTGTTAAACAATTTTTACAACTTCCAACAATTTTTACAACTTCCAACAATTGTTAAACAAAACGTAACATCATCAGTAACATTACAAATCCAACATCATGATGCGTTGAGCCATATACCTGCCTCGATATCAATTGTTCTTTAAATAGTTAAGCCCACGCTAAAATTAAACGGATTCTGCAGTGTTTTTTAAAATATTGTTTTATTGTGTTACCAACATTGTTTTCATAAAAAAGCCAACTATCGAACGCACTTGTGACCTTGTGACCAATATGAGTCAAACCACTACAGGCCCTATACGGACCAACCCACTTTTAAACTTATTAATGGGAAACCAACATCAAAACCAAACGGGTCCCGTAAAGTTGAGATCGCCATCTGTTGATTGTGTTTGTACATATTGGACCCACAAAAAAACCAACCATTAGACACACTTAGGACCGAGGTAAGGTTAACTAAGTGGGCTACGTGGTTCTAAGTGGGCTCTCTTGCGATGTTAGTATTGTATATTTAAAAGATTAGAAAGGTTAACATAGGTATACCTGAATTATTTACTGAATATGTTACTGTTACCCGCAATACCAGGAATTAGCTAAATGCTAATATTTATAACATAATAAACTTAAATATTGCAACTCTGAGATTGATTTCTTGATTTTTTTAAGATTTAATTTAATCCTAATATGCATTTTTAATTTTTTATTTTACATATGGCGCTGCGAGGGAATTCTTTTATTTCTAAAGTTTAGAGTTTATTAGCAATTTATGGACGATCACTTCCGAGATACAACACTTTTTCCTTTTTTTTTTTTTAAGGATATTTTTAAAAGTGGTTATATTAGTAGGATATTTATTACATAGTCTTAATGTGTACTAGTAAGATTGGGTTACGGTTTTATAGTTGCTAGATAGGTTAAGAACAGATAACCACTACTAACTTTTTTTTTACGTTTAGGAAAAAACCCGATGCGTCTTTAACTAAGCCAATGTGACGTCGTGTACTATCTGGCTGTGTTTTTTCCACCGATACTTTTATACGAATTTTTGTTTTCACATTTATTTCGTGACTGAGTCTTAAAAAGTTATTAAAAATTAATTGTTTCAATTGAAACTTTCTAATTGGTTTCAAAGTTGTAAGGTTACGAATGTTATATTAATACACTTTTTTTGTGAATTGCCATTCAGCAAAAATTCACTACTATACGTAATTATACGTATATAAACTTGATTATTATACTAAAGTACAAAAAATTAAAAAAGAGAGTTACTTATAAATGAAAAAACGCGGACCTTTTTTTTTTATTATTTGAAGACCTTTTAACCCTCTCTTTAGTCAGTGACAAAATCCGTCTCTGACGGAGGGATTAAATAAATTGGTGTGTTGAAACTGTCTCTTATGATATAATTAAAGAATTTAATGACAGTTTTAAATCTTTAAATATCAAATATAATATTTAGTTAAAAATATTCTTTATAAGAGGTAATTATTCAAGCATAACAAATCATCGTCTTAATTCTCCCGGTCTTTTCGAAAATATCAGAAAGATTTATGGCATTGATGGATGGCATTTAGTTCTAAAAATACTTCTTAAGAACGATCAAAAGGCGTTCACAACGTCTTTTTAACGCTCATAAAACGTAATGGCGGCTGGGATGTATAACAGAAAGCAAACATCTTACCAATAATAAATCTCTTTATAAACGTAAGATTTTCAAAAGAAACATTTCAACATCTATTAAGCATTTTCCAAGTAACGCGCAGTGTTTCTTTGCTTTAAGAATTCTTAATTTATACTAGACACTTTTTTTTTTTTAATGAACTATTTATTCGCCATTTTTTAATGGAAAAGCAAGAAAGCTATGGGATGAGAGAATCTGAACATGTTCAAAAGTTACTTTAGTAAATAATTCGTTTATAACAAGGAATCTCCGTCGCAATTATTAATAAATGTAACATGTTGTTATATTAAAGTCCCTGGAAAAACGATAATCACAAGATTAAAACTTATCTTTGAGACAACAAAATAGCAATAATTCCTTAAATATTGAAAAATAGATTTATTATAATCTGCTAGGAGATTTATAGACGACGGTTTTACTTGAATCTAGAGAAACACAAGATATCAAATGTAATGCAGTTGATGCAGATGATGCTACATAAATTTTAAAGTTGTAGTTTATGTCTCTACATATAAGATACTACTTTAACAATTATGTGTATACAGCGTATGATAGAGAGTGCACAACCAACATATTGTATTGTATAAAGATGCCTTATTGAGTTGCTAGATGGATGCAAGCAGCAGAACTTACGTTTGATAGTGCATCATTAATGACGTGCCAAAAAAAACATTATTTCCCGTTGTTAAGAGTTGACAACGGGATATAATGGTTTTGATACTACCTTAATGGTAGTATCAAAAAGTCTCTATGCTTGAAAATGGTCGTTTCAGGTCATTGTTGGGATAAATCTCAAACACGTTGCTTTTTTTTCACAGATAATAGAGGGCTTTTGAATCATGAGTTTTTGCAAAAAACTGTATATATGTATATATATATATATATATATATATATATATATATATATATATATATATATATATATATATATATATATATATATATATATATATATATATATTTGTACATATATGTATATATATATATATGTTTATAAATATATATATATATATATATATATATATTTATACACATATTTATATACATATATGTACAAATATGTATATATATATATACATATATATATATACATATATATATATTTGTACATATATGTATATAAATATGTGTATATATATATATATATATATATATATATATATATATATATTTATAAACATATATAAAATATATATATATATATATATATATATATATATAAATATATATATTTATATATATATATATATATATTTATTTATAGAGGTTTAAATATAATATTATATATATGTATACATATATATATATATATATATATATATATATATATATATATATATATATATATATATATATATATGTATGTATAAATTAGTAAAAACACTTATCTAATATTTTTCTTTAACAACTTGTTTCACCATCAAGAAGCCTTTCTGATAAGCCATCTGATGGTGAAACAAGTTGTTGAAGAAAAATATTAGATAAGTGTTTTTACTAATTTATTATTGCTCTGTTCTTTAAGAACATTGAGCACTCTATTTGTAGAATACACTAATATAATTTATTTATTAAGCTCTAAGTTTACACTTGTTGAGCACCAGTAATTGTATCTTGCATAACATATACATGGAAACTAATGATTTTAATTATTCCCTAAAAAATATCCCATACAAAAAAAAGTTATACTATTTCCTTAATTGCAAAAAATAGAACACTTTATTAAAAGAATTTTTTGGAAAGCCCACTTTTTCTGAAAATCTGAAACCAATAAAAACTCTTGAATTGAAAATAACCAAAAAGAAAATTTTGGATTCAAAACGAAAAAACGCCCCACCATTTATTCCCAACCTAAAAAACTTTGAAAATGATTTACTACATTTGATTAAAACAATAAAGTTTTGGAATATAAATAACCATTTCCAAAAAGAACTCAAAAAAAATATATCAAATTACCACAGAAAACCATCAGAAATTATTGCGCGATAATATTTTTAGTAATTATGCAAAAGCCCCTAAAAGCCATCTGATGGTAAAACAAGTTGTATAAAAGAAAAAGAGAAGAAAAAAAGCTTTCAGATGAGCCATCTGATGGTGAAACAAGTTGTTAAAGAAAAATATCAGATAAATGTTTTTACTAATTTATTATTGCTCTGTTCTTTAAGAACATTGAGCACTGTAGAATATTTGTTTATATATATATATATATATATATATATATATATATATATATATATATATATATATATATATATATATATATATATATATATATATATATATATATATTATAGTCAAGCATCTGCTTGACAATAAGAGCAAGCAACTAGAAACATTTTATGTAAAAATTTGATAACTTTTACATGAAAATTTAATAGAATTTAATGCATACAAGTGGTGGTATATAAATAATATAAACATATCATGACATCTATGACATTACATATCATAAGTTATTCACAGTTAACTGAAATTTAATAAATTACTGTAATATATATTTCTTTTGTTTTTTTTATTGAAAGCACATTTCAGATAGATTGCCCATATGGAATCTGGATAAATGTATCCGAAAATGGTTCACAATTATGCATACAAAAGTTGGTATTGGAGCACAACCATGTCGTTGACAAAGTCAGTATTTTATCGTAATTTGAATTATTTTTGATTTGCTACGTGGAGTTTATTCTCTGTTAAGTATTTTGCAAAACATCTCTTTCTCTTTATATATATATATATATATATATATATATATATATATATATATATATATATATATATATATATATATGCAAATGCGTGTTTGGATGAGCATTTACTCGCAAGTTTTGCTCATCTTTTTTATGTTTAATATCGTAAAAAATACTGGGGAGTCTTCACCAATAAAATCAGTTAAATCATTCACGGTCATTTTAGGAACCATTGGAATTATAGGTTAACCAAACCCTGACCCTTTTCTTTGTGAAGTTATTTCATTCAGTCATAATTTTTTAGTGATAGTATTTTACTAGTTTTTTGCTATTTTTTGTTTTTACTTTTTTTAGTTTTTTTTACTATTTTTATTATTTTTTAATTTCTTGTTTTTTATCATTTTTAGTACTTTACTATTTTTTTAGTGATAGTATTTTAGATATTGATAGTTTTCCTAAAATTGTTGATTGGATTTGTGATTCAAATCGTGGTTCAATTAGAGATTTAATTACAAAAAAAAAATGCCTATTCACAGGACCCTAATATATATATATATATATATATATATATATATATATATATATATATATATATATATATATATATATATATATATATATATATATATATATATATATATGTACAACTCAGGTTTTTGCCAAAAATGGTAGTTTTAAAGAGATCGCTAATAAAGCAGACAAGAAACAATTTTAAAACTTAAATAATTTTTTTTTTCTCTTAAATGATAGATAGCTTGCCCAAACCAAACCCTCAGTTGATGTAGCAGCACTCCATAGCGAGTCAGGCTATTTGTCAGTTGATGTAACACTACTCCGTTACGAGACCGGCTATTAGATTATCGATGTAGCAGCACTCCATGACGAGTCAGGTTATAAGATAGTCGATGTAGCAACACTCCACGCATATTTAAAAATTGTATTTTAACAAAACATAAACAAACAAAAAAAAAAAACAGTGCTAATTAAAAAAAAATTCTAGTCGTTATTTATGTGGTTTTTTAAAAAACGTTAAAATTTAATGTGGAAACTCATTAAATTAATTGTTTTACACTTTGACGACAAAAAGTTGTTGCTTTATCGCTGAGGTAGCAAAACTGTATATGAAATGAGACTTTTTTTACATTAAAATACTCTTACGACTACGATATATATGTATATATATATATATATATATATATATATATATATATATATATATATATATATATATATATATATATATATATTTACCAAGAAGTTTATACGCAGCCGTATTTATTGAATTCTAACCATATTTTAACGTAACAAGAAAATGACATTCAAAGATTATATTACTACTTTTTACGGCAAAAATATTTACGATGATAACAAAAAGTTACAAGATTTGAAGATATGAAAGCAAACTCAAAAAATCAACTCGTTTTTCTTCAAAAGTGCTTATCCAATAGCATAACTCCAAAATCGTTTAAAATAAAAACTCCAATTCATACAAAAAAAGCAAAAAACATAATGAAGGAATAAAGTAAAAAACTATTAGTTCATGCTCGTAACGAAGTCTAAGACAGATTATATTCAAGTAAGAAACTAATTAATGAATTAAATATATTTCTTCAGACAAAAGTGAGATTACATGATTATGAATTAATTAACAGTATAACCAACAAATCAAAAAATTACCATTACATTAAGAAAAAAACGGAAATGAAAGAAAAATATCATAAATTACAAATTACACCGATTATAAAAATTACTTTTAATCCTCCCAATCAAGTTATTAAACCTGCTATACTCAATTTAACTAATGTTACTCTGGATAAATCAACAACTGAGCTACTGTATTTAGTTTCAAATTTTGTACCACTGCCGAAAAAAATTCCTTATATGGATATTATAACTAATATCAAAACTTGCGCTTTACAACTTGAAACACTTAAAAAACTTAAACACAGGCAGAAACTCTACGACAAAACTGTTCACAAATTTTAACAAATTCGCTAAAATTATAATTAAAAGATAATTTAACTAAGCAACAACGTCTTTCCATAAACAAATTAAAAAACAATTCTAACATTAAGATATACCCTTTCGATAAAGGCTTCGCAGTAATAAATCAAAAAGATGCATCTCTCAAATTAGAAGAACAAATAAAAAATAGCAAAATTATTGATTATGATCCAACATCCACATTGACTACTAAATTTCAAAGACAACAATAAAACAACTCGAACTAAACTTACTCTTGCAGACATTCATCAATTAATTGAACTTTCATTAAGTATATGCTATTTTTTATATGAAAACAATATCCAAATAATACCTAATTCAGGTCCTTTAGGTTTATCTTTAATGGTTGTTATGGCGGAAGCGTTATTACAAAATATAAAAGGAAAATGGCCCAGTTCGAGTGCAACTGAGCATTCTAAAACATGCCATGGTAAGTTTGATTGGTTGCACCCCAAAACATTATCTGTAGCCCCAGAATATCGAACTCGAAAAATCAGAGAGTCACTCTGATTTAAGCAAGGCTAGGGTTCAACAGGAGTTGAGAAATGGTGACGTGGTTCTCAATCGGGATAACAGTGATAACGTAACAACCAAAACCTGGGGGCCATTTTTTAATAAAATCTGGTGACGTCAGTTGTTTGAAAAGTTTTTTTTCTGTATTATATTATGGCTTTTTTAATGTTATCTTTTTAACGGTTTGTTTTTACTATAACGACTTTGTAACTATTTTGTTTATTATACCTAATGATGCTTATCACAATAGATCAGCGAAATATCGAAATAATTATATATTAAAGAAAAAATATATATATATTAAAAAAAAATTTATACGCAGCCGTATTTATTGAATTCTAACCATATTATAATGTATAACAAGAAAATGACATTCAAAGATTATATATATATATATATATATATATATATATATATATATATATATATATATATATATATATATATATATATATATATATATATATATATAAATATATATATATATATATATATATATATATATATATATATATATATATATTTATATATATAATAAGCTTTAAAATGTTTTATAAAGTGTGGCTATCAAATTTGATTTTTACCCAAAATATATTTTCTCTTGAATTTTGTGTGTGTGTTCACTGTGTATCATTTTGTAAATTACTAAATGATTAGGATACAAACAGTTTATATATTAGATATTTTACTATTTTTCAACTTTTAGGAATTATTTAACAATCTGCCAAAAAGAAGAAAATTAAATTCCGATGAAAAAGAAGATGTTTGTCGTCTTTTGAGTATGCACGGAAGCAAGTGGCTTATTAAAGATCAAGTTATGAAGGAAACAGGTTTGTTTCAACACTTTTTTATATTGGAATTCATACTCATCATACTTATGTTTACTCTCTACGTTTAACTTAAGGCTTTCGAAAAAATCTGCCCACCTTTCTTGATCAAAAAAAGAAGTAAGAAAGCTTAAATGTATTTAAATCAATATATTTCTGAAAAATTAAGACTGTAAAGAATACATATTAATAGGGAAAAAACTAAGAAAAATTAAGTTTTACAGAAAATTCTGACTTTCTTTTTGATGCCTCCCATAAGTTTCTAGACAGAGTGATTTTTGTAAGTTTTAGCAGCATAATCCCTTTTTTTCTTCAAATCTGTAGCTGGTTTTACTGTTTTTCCACTTAATTTCAATTTCTATTTTTTGATGGCCCAATATTTTTTCAATATGAGGTAATTTGGGGCAGTTAGGAGGATTCATTTTTTTCGGAACCAACATCACTCCATTACCATCGTTAAACTTTTGAGCATCTTTTGAGTAATGTATTGCGGCTAAATCAGGCCAAAACAATACTAAAGAACTTCTATGAGCTTTAATTAGTCGTTTTATACAAGAAAGACAGCATTTCACGTATTCCGAAGTTTTTATTGTGCCCAAACAAACATGAATTAGCAATTTTTTGCCTCAAGAGCAAAGTGCCTGCCAAATCATCAATTTTTTCGAAAATTTATCAGTCATTACATACTTGTATTTATCACTCAAATTTCTTCTTATTTTAAAAGCATAGTAGCACTGCCCAGGAATATGTTTAAAATCCATTTTAACATAAGTTTTGTCATCCGTCAAAATGCATCCATTATGTTTTGTTAACAAGTTGTAATACAACTTTCGAGCTCGACTCTTTGCGGTTGAATTTTGTTTATCATTGCGGTTTGGCATTTTAACTACTTTAAAACTTTGATATCCAAGTCTCTGTTGCCATTTATGAAAAAAAAAATTGGAAACTTTTTTTTTTTGCTCGAAATCTATCAGACCAATCAGGATGTTCTTCCAATGAAGTCTCCAACAGTTCGAGAGCTCTAGAATTTGCTGTGCGCTTTTTTCGACCTTGTTTTCTCTGACTAGTTTTCTGTTCTGTAAACCGTTTAAGAACAGTATCTACAGTACTTCTTGATATTTTTAATGACTTCGCCAACTTTCTATTCGATAAAGTTGGATTTTTAAAGTGTTTGTCTACAATCAAAAATCTTTGTTTAGTTTGCTCGGTTGACATTTTGAAACTAAATAATATTTTTAATTATTTTTTCCTGCCAAAATGTTCTATTATACAAACACTACACAAAAAAAACAATTTCAAAAAACAACCTTTAACTAGCTTTACCACACCGCAAAAGGTGGGCAGATTTTTCCGATACCATGCCTTATTATAATGTTACTTTTTCTTTTAGGTAAAAAAGTTACTCTAAAAGATCTTCATAACTTAGCTGCAAAACAGAAAGGTACCACAGATTTAAAATCACTATTTGCAGTCTTTCAAGAATGTAATGGTTAGTATAAATAATTTTTTTTTAAACAAGTTATATGCAACAAGGAAACAAATATTGGTTTCATTTTGACAGCAGTGCTGTTTCTTTTTAAGTGATGCTTTAAATGTACGTTTAAAAATTAATAAGTTAAAAAATAAGTTTTTTGGGGAAGATGAGAAGTACATACATTCTCTTTTATTGTTATAAATGTATTTAATTACATACATATAACTAATATATTTATATATAAACTATAATTATATATAAATATAATAATATTATATATATATAATAATATTATAATAATAATATAAAATGTAATACTTTTATAATACATATAAATTATTTTTTGTTATTAAAATTATAATTATTCATTATAATTAATATCTGTACATGTTTTGATGGACTGATTAGAAGAACATTTTATAAATGCTTTTTGTATTTAAGCTGTGTTATAGTGCAGAACTATTGCAGTGTTATTGTTATAGTCTTTTGTCAGTGTTATAGTGTGTAATAATTGTGTTACATTGGATATTCAAAGTATTTTCTTAATACTCTTCTTAATTCTTCTTAAAGAACAGAGCAGTGATAAATTATTAACAACACTTTTCCATCTTTTATCTTCAACAACGTTTTGCTCTTAATATAAGATAAGCTTATGAAGCAAGTTAAATAATATAATAATTAGAATAAATTAAACTTATTATGATTTCAACTAAAAAAAGTTTTGATTTAATTTTTTATATAAAAGCATTTTTTATTAGCTTTTATTATGATTTGTTTGCATGTTTACGCAACTTTTAATTATATTCTTTTTTTAAATTTTTCTAGTTCCACTTTGACATTCTACACTACGACATGACGTTAGTTTAGTATTCCTACTGTTGAAATATGGTTTTAATTTAGTAAATTTTTATGAATTGAAATATACTTTATTGATCATTAGTTATCAGTTAGTAAAAAAATTATAATCAACATTATTTAGGTAACAGTAACTTTGTTTTTTTGTGGCATTACAAAATAATTTTGTACTCTTAATCATTATGTTATTGAGAGTTTGTGTAATAATTTATTAAGTATTGAGTAATTATTTTCTTTTGTTTCAGGTTTTGACTATTTTTACCTCTACTCAAGAAATAATGTCAAATTCAATAATATGGGAGTATACTGCTTCAATGAAACAGTATACTTAAAATAAAATGCATATCAAACTAAAAATTTATATTTAAACTTACTTTTACAGACTTATCTCTTGTATTTTTAAATGAATTTTAACTATATTTTTTTGTATAGATGCTCTTGTTATCAAGTTAATCATTACACTTTAGTACGACAGTTTATCAGATTTATTAACATAGACAAGTATAGCATGGCCATGTTGCTAGGATAAGGCTACATGATGCTAGGCCTATGTTTTGTGAATCCAGACCCAGCACAGTAATAAATTAATAAACTTATAGAACTATTTATTCAAATTCAGGAAATTCCAATAGCTTGATATGCAAATATATAAAGGCAATAGCTTGCTCTTGTCAAAGAAACTTTCTGAAGAGTATGTTCATATCTATATTTAAGTGGGGATTATGTACCAGATATTTTGTTCTCCTAATAAATTTGCATTCCCTATTGCCACAGAGCCTCTCCTGCCCTGTTTCTCTTTGTCAAACATAAATTTGTTGAATATATAACTTCTTTTCTATTAGGACCAGATCTTGAACTAAGAACAGATGAAAATGGTATTGTAACTGGAATATTTTTTCAAGACTATGAAATGAAGCGATTTTTTAGTTTATATCCAGAGTTACTTTTGGTTGATGCAACTTATAAACTTACTAATTTGAGAATGCCCTTATACCTTCTTCTTGTAGTCGGACCAAATGGCGAAAGCGAAATTGCAGCTATATTTTTAACTGCATCAGAAGACTGTGTTTCACTTTCAGCTATGTTTGAAATATTCAAGGAAAAAAATATAAACTGGAGTAAGATATCATCTGTTTTTACTGACAAAGACATGACAGAGCGTGAATGCATTAAGCATGCATTTCCACAAATTAATTTATTGTTGTGTATATTTCATGTTTTGCGTTGTATGAGCAGAGAAATAACAACATCAAAAACGAATATATCTGAAGCTCAAAGACTGGTTGCTTTAAAAGCTCTACGAAAAATGACATATGCAACTACTGAGAAAGAGTATGAGAAGTTGCGTGATGAGTTTCACAAAGTTATGCAACCACCTATTGTTAAATATGTTGAAGTTAATTGGCATGCTTGTAGGTTCGAGTGGGTGCGTTGTTGGCAGCAACAAAATATTACTTTTGGAGAATGCACTACTAATCGTCTTGAATCTATCAATCGAAGAATTAAAGCTGTTGTTTCTTTGTTGAGTCCTTTACCTATATTTTTCAAAGATTTGCTTACTGTAATAGCCTGCATGCGACAAGAAAGAGACCATAAATATATAACTAGTACAGAACGAGTTCCTGTTAGTGCAGTTGCAAGTTTTCAATATGAACGAGATTATAAAGATATACTAACGCCGTTTGCTTTGTCTTTTGTTAAATCTCAGCTCAATGAATCTGTCAGCATAGATTGGGACTTAGCAAATGAAATTATACAAACTTCTGGAAAAAGTGAAACACGATCTGAGAACACCTGCGATTGTTTATTTACAAAGTCGATGGGTTTGCCATGCAAACACATGTTTGCAGCTAGAAGAGCAAAAAAACTACAAATGTTCTCTGAAAATTGCATTGCTCCTAGATGGTTTAAGGAAACAGTGCAGAAAAATCATCGCGTTTTTCTAACAAAGGAGCAACATGATAGCCATATAAAATTTGCTAAGCTAAAGGATAAACCCTTGACCCACATAGAAAAGTACCGTCGTGCTAATCGACTTGTACAGCATCTATCTGATTTAGCAGCAGAAGGTTGATCATCACAGTTTGAATGTAGAATGAGGGTCTTACAAAATTTAGCAAGTATTTGGGGTTCTAATAATGAAGCTATGGTAACTTCAATTCAACACCATTTTTTTGATTTTAATATACAAAACGGATGTACCAAGTTGGAAATCGAAAATGATATATTTCGGTCTGAACTGCGTGAAAGAAAAGTAAGATTTTAATTTTTATAATTTATTGACATTTAAATTGCCAATTTGGCTGCTATAAATTGTTTATAAGTATTTCAGTATTCAAAATTGTTTGTCTTCCAACTATAGTTTGAAATGACAGATTCAAGTGACGAAGTTGTTGAAGTTGTTAATGTTGAAAAAAATGACAAAATCAATTTTGATCCAAACTCTAAAGTAAGCTGTGACTTGTTTGACATATTTAATAAAATTATTTATTTTATGAAGTTAAATTTTTTTATTTCCAATTATAGTTTGAAAGACCAGGTTGCAGTGGTGAAGTTGAAAGCAATACAGTACAAAACTCTATAGTATACCTTTGTTTATTTTCCTTTTTGAAATTATTTATTTTATGAAGTTAAATTTTTTTATTTCCAATTATAGTTTGAAAGACCAGGTTGCAGTGGTGAAGTTGAAAGCAATACAGTACAAAACTTTACAGTTTCTTGTGAAGGGATTATAGGTTTGGCAATATTTATTTATTATAATTTTGTGTATGTAACATGTAATATGTATATGTAATTTTCCAACATTGTAAATAAATAAAATCTGATTTAATAAAAACAAAATAGAAATAAGACAAAATCAATACATAATACAATCATTACTCGTTCATCTCATTCAGTCTGAGCACATGTGGGGTACATCTATTGATGTTTTTACTATTACGTGGATTATTTTTACATTCTACATTCATTGATCTTTTTACTTTTCCAAAAAATCTCTATTGAACTGGACTTTTTTTTTTTTGATGAACAAGGCTGCTGCCCGAAGAAACAAGTTGAGTGCGGTACTACCAGGGACGTAGTGGGGTTTGAACTTGGAACTTCTCGCATATGAGGCGAGCGCTCTACCACTACACCACTACCGCTTAAAATAAATAATGCATCTGTTGTTCCATTTCATGGTCTTAAACCAAATTGTGGTTTATTGATAAATGCATTTTAAATACTAGTACTTCTCCACCTTTTATAAATTTTTAATATTTAATTTTTTTTAATATCATTTGAGATTTAACCTAAATTTAATTCATCTGACATGTGACACCCACTCCACGCCCACATTACATGAAACTCAGCATTTCAGCTAATACACTAGGAGCACCAGCAGGTGCTCCTAGTGTATTAGCTGATTGATTCATTCAGCAAATGATTCATCCAATTTGTTTCCACCGCAACTTTCTTTACCATTATTTTGCTATTTAGTCATTTAATACAGCTTTCTCCAACAATGTCTATACTTTTCCTAACGTTTTGCTTTACAATTCTGAATACTTCTTTTATTTTGTTCTCTACATCAACTATCTCATCTATTAAGTTCTGCCTATGTGACTGAGCTTTTTATAGCGCTTGTTTTGCCACACATATTAGCCAAGGCATTGCCAGATTTTTTCCATATGTAATAAAGATTTTTCTTTTACAATTTTACCGTTCATTCCACTACCATTCAATTACATTCTAGAAATCTTTTTCAGGCAATATAAGTTGGTTTTTTTTTACCAGGCGTTTAAGCAATCTCTCACATTGAATCAATTAATTAACATTCACATTAATTCAACCTTGAACGAAACATTACACTGAAAGCTATACTTGCTTGCTACACATACATACTTGCTACTGGCCAATGTTGTATTTTTGCCAGTGACTAACTTAAGGCCAATAACAAACCATCAGACGTACCTCTTGTTAACTGGCACAACCGGCAATATTATATTTTCTTTTTGGGGGTTGTTATATAAAATAAAAACTTACAATATAATCAATTGTTGATGATCATTAATTTTTAGAAGTCAGAAAGGAAACTGAAAAACAGATTAAAGAAATCATAAGTCTCAATCAGATGGACTGTTTAAGTAAATCAAAAAATCTATTATGTGAAACTTCTAAAATACCTGAGTCCCAACTTGATTTATTCCAAATTCATTTTCCATCAAAGTTTATATCACGAGGGCGTCCTAAGTCAAAATGGAAAAAAAATGCTGTTGGCCTGCGTAAAGTTTCGAAGATCTGTTTGCCTTATGAACAGAAGACCGTTAAAGAAAAAGTTCATCGTAAGTATACATTATTATTTACATATCAACAATCAGAAATTTAAAAAAGGGTTTGGTTTAATAACTCAATTTGATGAATAATTTAAGACACTTTAATTTTTTTACAATTTTGCAAGTTAACCTCCAAGAGAAGTCACAGGTTAGGGTAAGTCACGGTAGAGAAAGTCAATAGTTTCGCAAAGTTTGACCTATATGTGTTTCAAAACTAATTTTAAAAATACCTATAATTGAACTGGAATTTTATACTTCACTAGCCACCTCGTAAAATGAGATCACCGTTTAAAAATACTCGAACAAACTTAATAGGTTTTTTTTTACAAGAGATGATGAGTTTAAATCCTAATTCTTTCTTTATTTTTAGTTTTGCTGCGGCGTCTGCTGAAAGGTCGAAGACAAAAGATGTTACGGTTGTTACACCTGCTGATATTGCAGACCTGAATTTAGAAGCTAAAGATCTTCCATCAGCTCTAATGAATGAAATAGTAGTTTTAGAAATTCTTAAGCCATTTCTTACAACACAAGCATGGAAAATTTTAAGAGCTTCTTTTTTAAGACGCAAAAAAATGAAAATGTGGAATTGCCCGATTTGTCTACTCAATGCTCCCACAGAATCAATTGAGTGTAGCAGTTGTCTTGAGTGGTACCACTTTAATTGTGTCAAGGTGACATCCAAGATAACTAAAAATTGGTACTGTGGTACTTGTCTGTTAAATGTGGAAACTTAAAATTTATCGGAAGTTAAAATAGGCTATTTAACAAATTTAACAATAAACTTCATTTCTCAAGATTCTTTTTTAATTAATGTTCACTGTAATATTGGAAAAAGTTTTTAAAACTTATTTATGTTTATTTATCATTACTATTTATGAAATATCTATTAAAGAATTAATACTTATTCAATGTAGTTATTGTATCTCAACAAGGTTTTATTATTTATAATTTTTATTCAAAATATATCGGCCTTTGAAGCAATGGTCAGTGACGTAGCAAGATTGTTGGCGGCCGGGTTCAGGTATTGGGAAGATGCTTTAAGGGCAAATTTTGAATATAATAAGCAGAGGATGTTAAATGAAGGACTTCAGACTTCAGGAACGTGCTAAAGTCGTGTTGAGGTCTTGCTAAGTTGATGCATGCTTAAAAATTATTATGATACCTTATCACTACCTCTTTGTCTTGAAAGATGGAGTTTGCACAAAAAAATTTCCTAAAGAGTTTAATCCTCGCACTGTTGCAACTTTCAATAATTATCCTAACTACAGGCGTTTAGATAATGGTAGAGTAGTCATTATAAAAGGTAACCAAGTTGATAATCGATGGGTTGTACCCTATAACCCCTGGTTATCAAAAAAATGCCAAGCCCACATTAATGTTGAAGCTTGCATGTCTAGTGAAGTATTTATACAAATATGTCTATAAGGGGCATGATTGTGCGAATGTGGTAATTAATGAAAGTGTTGACCATGATGAAATTAACACATACTTAGACTGTCGCTTTGTCCATGAATCATACATGTTTTTACAATTTCATAAAGTCCAGGATCAATAGTTTGATCTGGAATTTCAGCTGATATTAAACTATCAATATCCTCCGCTGTTTCTCGCTAGTACATATTTTATTACACTTTGTAAGTCATCATTTACAAAGTGTAATAAAATATGTACATGTGGCAAACCACGTTTTTAAAACTCAATAGCCTGTACATGACTTACAACTTTGCCTAAGACTCCATGTTTAAAAATATCATCTAAGAAGCATTTAAGTTTCATCTTAAATACGCGACAAACTAAATCAGGCCTGTCAGTTGCGCTCTCACCATTTTCTATAATTTCTCTCCATTTTGGATTACAGGTAAAAGTAATAAAAAGATCTGGTTTGCCATATTTCTTTATAATTGCCATTGCATCTTCAAAATTTTCTTTTAAAGCTCTTGGACTTTCAACATATGAGGATAGTAGTATAACAACACGACCTGGTCTTACATTAAGGTTATTTGCAGCATTATTTACATATTCATGTAATGTATCATATTGTTCACTTCTAAGTTTGTTTTGGTTATTTCTGATAAAAGCAAGGCGCTGTCCTTCAATCTTGACATATGCATCAACAGCATACTGTTGAAAAAGCTTTATGCCATAAAATATAGGACTGAACGTTTGTCTAATAGAAAGCCTATAATTGTAGTACTGAGACAAAGTAACACGATTTCTAACACGTGTTGCTCGGTCAGGATTGTGCTCTAGTTGATCATGCCATCCTGCATCACCTCTTGGAATATTGTAAAATATTGGATATATCATTGGATGTAGATTTGCAGACATACTTGAAATTGTTTTTAAGGGTTGACCTCGAGGATAAATAACAACTTCTCTAGATGGAGGTGGAGCACCATCATTTCCTACAAACACAATGGCAACTTCCTCATGTGAAGGAAGATTGTATCGACGTCTATCAGAACCCTCAAGCAATGACATTTTGACAACAGAAATTGGTCGACCTTCTATAGCAGCTTGACAAATTTCTGCATCTTCAACTTCTGCCATGTTTTAAAATGCAAGTGCATATGGGTTCTCCTGATTAATTATAGTCTGCAAAAGTTCCATTAACTCACGTATGCAACAATCATTTTGCTCCATTCGAAAGTTTAAAGCAGTATTAGGATCATAAACATATAATTGACAATAAGCAGGTGGATGCAGATGTCTTAGATTACCAATACGATGCATAGTAAGCCCACTAATTCTAAAACAGGGTGGACCACGATTTGACGGAGGATCTATTGTGGCTATGAATGAAGCAAAAGATAGACAGGCATTATAATTTCGTATATGCTTGAAAAAATTTTGATTCAAAGCACGATCAACATGGTTGCCTGTCATTAAATCAACCATCAGCGGTGGATAAGGTGAAAGTGGAGGTAAGACAACCTTTCCTGAATGGCAGCACAAAAAATGTGTTTCATTTAGAAATTTTTTAGCACCACAATACTGACAATTATGGTTTATTTCTCCTAGGTAATTATTCTCTATAAAAACATTATTTCTTGCTATGCAATGCATTCCACACCTATGTAATACTCGTCTAGCCTCATTCCTTTCATTTTGGCGACGATTAACTTCTTCACGCCTAGCCTCATTCCTTTCATTTTGACGACGATTAATTTCTTCTCGTCTGGTCTCATTTCTCTCATTTCGACGATTTTTTCTATTTTCAGCTCTTAAGTTACTTGACATAATTAAGAAACTGTTTATGTTTATTAACTTTGATTAATTATTTGCTATACCAATCTAAAATGAACAAACACAATTAAGTGCTATTTCTCGGTTTAAACCAATGAAACTATGTATATAGCGTCTAATAAAATTTGTGAACAAAAGTTATAACTAAACTGGTTTGAAACAGAGAAAAAGCCAGAAGTATATTGTAATAACATACTATATTGTAAGTAATAAAACAGTATTTTTTGAAACAAATAAAAATTTTTATAATTTTAAAAGTCATATTATTAATATTAAAAAGTAAAATTAGTTACATTTAGCTAGTTAATAATATTAATGTAACTTAATTTTATGTATGTATTAATGTAACTTTGTGTATGTATTATGTATGTATTAATGTAATTTTATTGATGTAACTAAAATTAGTTACATTATTAATATTAATGTAATAATATTAAGGTAATACTAAAAAGTAAAATTAGTTACAAACTAAAAAATGACATGCCAACTATTGCAAACATGTTGCACCATATAGACCACATGTGGCTGACAACTGATTTAAAGTACTTTTTTATTTAATATATCTAAAGAGAATAATGTAAAGAGATTAATAGGCGTATAGTGCATATATTAGACATAAACAGATATCATAGAAAAAGAAAAATTTTAAATATATTTACGATACCTTTCAAAAACTATATAACACTTAACAAATAAAAGTTAATACAAAAGAAAATTTAGTATTATTAAAATTAAAAATGAGGATAAAAAGATGTAAAACATAAATTAATAAAAAAATTTATAGACAAATTATTAAAAACTTTTATAACATAAGAGTTCTTTTGTAAGTTTAGGATATAAAAACAGAATTAAAAATCAATAAAAAAAAAAATTAAAAGTGTTGAACATCCCAGCATCCTACATTCTACCAGTGGTGTCATATGGGGTTTGTCTCCTCCATCTAAAGGAGGGATCATCTCCCCCATATTGACACCACCGGTAGAAGGCTCTTTGAGATATGGGACCTGGGTGCTGGGAGCGATAACAAATGAAATCTTCATAAGATGCTAAAAAACAAAAAAAGAAATAAATTTGAATACAATACTGCACATAACAACTTATAAAAATTATTTAAAACTATTTAGACTTTGAAAAAAAAAAGTTATGACAAAAAAAATAATAATAATAAATAAAGCAATATAAAAATAAGGGTATGTAATGTTTAAATTTCAATACACATAACACCCATAAAACTGCAAAAGTATGCAAAACAGATTACCTGATGGTCCTGCAGATATTGTTACTATTCTGGAATAATTAAAAAAGTATATAAACTAACACATATATTAAACAGTTATGTAATTGCATACAAACATAAAAAAATGTTTAAGTTTCAATACACATAAAACCCATAAAACTGCATAAGTATGCTAAACAGATTACATAATATTATTGCTTGAGGTGCTAATGTAGAGACAAAAAAATAATAATAAATAAAGTAATGAGCAAATTAAGATATGTAATGTTTAAATTTCAATATACATAACACTCATAAAACTGCATATGTATGCAAAACACATTACCTGGTGGTACTGCAGATATTGTTGCTATTATGGAAATAAAAAAAAAGTATATAAACTAACACATATATTAAACAGTTATGTAATTACATACAAACATGAAAAAAATGTTTAAGTTTCAATACACATAACACTCATAAAACTGCATAAGTATGCAAAACACATTACCTGGTGGTACTGCAGTTGAAGCTGTTGCTAATGCAGAAATAAATAAAAAAGTTTATAAACTAACACATATATTAAACAGTTATGTAATTGCATACAAACATGAAAAAAATGTTTAAGTTTTAATACACATAACACTCATAAAACTGCATAAGTATGCAAAACACATTACCTGATGGTACTGAAGATAATATTGATGCTATTGTGGAGGAAAAAAAAAAAAAGGTTTTAAAAGTAACATTTTAAACATTTATGTAATTGCATGAAAACATAAATTAATGTTTAAGTTTCAATACACATAAAACTGCATAAGTATGCTAAACAGATTACATGATATTATTGCTTGAGGTGCTAATGTAGAGACAAAAAAAAATAAAATAAAAAATTAAGTAATGTGCAAATTAAGATATGTAATGTTTAAATTTCAATACACATAACACTCATAAAACTGCATAAGTATGCAAAACACATTACCTGGTGGTACTGCAGATATTGTTGCTATTATGGAAACAAATAAAAAAGTATATAAACTAACACATATAATAAACAGTTATGTAATTGCATACAAACATGAAAAAAGTAATGTTTAAATTCCAATACACATAACACTCATAAAACTGCATAAGTATGCAAAACACATTACCTGATGATACTGCAGATGATATTGTTGCTATTGTGGAGGTAAAAAAAAAAGTGTATAAAGTAACATATGTTAAACATTTATGTAATTGCATACAAACATGAAAAAAGTTATGTTTAAGTTCAAATACACATAACACTCATAAAACTGCATAAGTATGCAAATCACATTACCTGATGGTACTGCAGATGATATCGATGCTATTGTGAAAATAAATAAAGAAGTATATAAACTAACACATATATTAAACAGTTATGTAATTGCATACAAACATGAAAAAAGTAATGTTTAAATTCCAATACACATAACACTCATAAAACTGCATAAGTATGCAAAACACATTACCTGATATTATTGCTTGAGGTGCTAATGTAAAGACAAAAAAATAATAATAATAAAGTGATGTGCAAATATAATAATAAATATGATTTAAAACTTAAAAATATGCAATCTTTAAGTATTAATACGCTTAAAACTCTCATAAACTTAATACTCATAATACTGCATAAGTATGCAAAACACATTACCTGATGGTCCTGCAGATATTGATACTATTGTGGAGGTTAAAAAAAATGTATATAAACAAACATTTATTAAACAGTTATGTAATTGCATACAAACATCAAAGAAAGTAATGTTTAATTTTCAATACACATAACACCCATAAAACTGAATAAGTACGCAAAACAGATAACTTGATGTTATTGCTTATGGTGCTAATGTAGAGATAAAAAAATAAATAAAGTAATCTGTAAGTTAAGATATGCTATCTTTAAGATTTAATACATATAACACTCATAAAACGGCATAAGAATGCAAAACACATTACCTGATGGTACTGCAGATGATGCTATAGTGGAGGTAATAAACGAAATATCTCAGTATCATCTTTTTTTATCTCTTTCTCTTTAATTAATTAATGTTATACAAAATAAAAAGAATACTTTAACCTTCTGTATTTTGGCTGCTCATTTTTAAAATATAATCTTAATGTTTATTTTAAGACATATTAACTTCAAATATATTTACATATTAACATGTTAATTCTAAATTAAGATTAATTTTTTAAATTTTCAATAATTTCAATAATTAAACTTGTAGATGAAACTTACTTACCGTCGCTCGCTTTAAAATCGTATAATTAATGAAGAGAAAGAGACCACATGGCCGAGTTTTATTGGTTTTAGAGTACAGTTGGCGCACATATCATAATACAAAAATCAGATGGTTTTGAATCAATTAATTAAGCTGTTTTTATTAACGGATTTGGTGGAGTTAATTAGATAACCGCAAGATAGTTTTACAGTGGTTTAAGAATTGGCGTATATTTCGTAATACAAAAATTATTTAACATTTATATCTTTATATTTGATCATTTCTATTACCGGATTAGGCGAAACTAATTTTATGACGTAATTTTAGCATTTTGTGGGTTTTCTGTTTGTCACCTGGAGTAATTAAATTTTTTTGTTTTAGGTTTCAGAATATAATTTTTTTTATACCTTTCCGTACTTATTAGGACTCTTGACCAGTTAATTTTAAATAAATTTTCAGTTTACATGTGACACCTTTTTTTTTAATATAAAAAAGAAAGTTATCTCTTTAATGTGTGTTGAACTCGCAGACTTAACTAATGACCTAAAACATGAGTATCTCTATCATGATATATGCGCAACAAATTTCCAACAGCGTTTTCATGTTTTTAGAAATTTTAAAAAACGTTTCAAAAAATTCTCTCCCTTTGGTTTGTTATAGTATACAATATCTTTAATTATATGTAATGCGTATAAAATCTATATGCATTTAAACTTATTTTTCTTTGTTTTCTAGAAAACTGGAAAAGATTTTTAAAAAAATTGTGTAAGCAAAAGATTTTGAACCCAAGCGAAGCACTTCAACCGCTTTGACATGCTATATCATCTTTTAACACTATTTAATAAACAGAAGACTTATTAAACTTTATAAAACAGCTCATAAATACTTTAAAATAAAGAGATATTGCCGCAATCAAATTTTTATGTAAAAATATATCGGTAAAATTTGATGTCATCTACTTTATAATAATACTGATTACTAATTAAAGAACTTAAGGTTTACATATTTAGATATTTGCATAGACTTTCGTTCACATAGATAAAATACAAATCATAACGAATTGTGGTTCCGAAAAAAAAGGTTAATACTCTACCGTCCATAATTATTGGAATGGTCGTATTTTTTAATATCAAAGATATCAAAGTTTGGAGAAAAAGTGAAAACAAATATCTACCTGAATTATATGTTATCCTACTATTTATTAGGTTTACAAATAAAACTATCCTGATTAGTTTATAATTTATTTAAAACCCTGATTAGCTTTTAATTTACTTGCCTATTATTAATCACCCTTAACAACAATAACCGCCGTAAATATATTTTTAGCATTCTACTTAACGACTTAACTAATTAGTCACTAAGTTTTTTCGAAAAAAAAAATACACATGTATTAATGGTATATCAATTTATTTATCTATTTAATTTAATATATATAATTTAATCTGATTAATATAATTGAAATTATATTATTTAGATTAAATTATATATATTAAATTATTTAGTTAATTATTAAGTTAGTATTTATATATATTAAA